GCACGTGCTCCAGGTGCACATTCCTGGGCCCGTCTCGGACCTGCGGAGGGGAAACTGGTTCCGATGCGGGCACTGCAGCCGACTCCAGTACACACTAAAGTGCGAGACACGCCGCCTCCAGGGCGCGCTGGGGACTCCGTGTAGGGCACCGAGGACCCTGAAGCACCATCCTCCGCGGTGTCACTAAAGCGTTCTCCATTTCCTACAGTCCCTTCCTCCACGCTCATTGCAGCCGCCCCGCCGGTACCACAGCCCTCGTCTCAGCATTTAGGTTTGTCTTTCTTCTGGGTTTCCCTAGAAGCTGTGCCTGCATCTGGCCCGGAGGCGTCCCGTCTCCCCTCGCAGACTGGTCACTGCACGTCCCCTGAGTCCTCAGGCCCGGCCGGCTCGCTGGCGGCCCCTGGGGTCCCCCACACACCTTGCAGGCAGGGAGGAGCCCCAGGAGCGGAGGCTGCCACACCCGACGTAGGGCCTGCAGAGCGGCAGCGTGTATCTAGGGCTGTGTCTCTGTTCAGCTATGTATTTTTGACATGTAGCAAGACCTCTCCATCTCCCCAAGGACTCACTCGGGGCTGGGCCTCTGCAGTCTCCGGGCTGGGCTTTGACAGGTGGGAGGACGCAGCGCTGCAGGCTGTTTTGTTACAAATCGTGTCGCCCTTCCCCCCGCCACCCCATCCAGCATGACTGATCCCTGTGAGCAGGCTCTCACAACCTCCCAGGACGGACGGGGCACGGCAGGGGCTTCGCCGTCTGTCCCTGACCGCCCTCCCTCCCCCTTGCCACTTAGCAGTTACCCCAGCCATGCCTCCTCCCCCAAACCTGGCCCGACATATATTGTGCCTTATTTATGCTGCAAATATAACATTAAACTATCGAGAGAACCACTTCCGCCTGCTGCTTCTCTGCTCTCTCCTACAAGTCACGTTGTTCACTACAAGTCGCTCTGGGGGGCGGGGATTCCATTGCCCGCATTTCTTCAGACAGGAAGGGCCCCCACTGTTTTGTACAGGGAAGACAGTCTAGAGAAGGCGGATGGCTTAGTAAATAACATGGCAGGACAGAGGGCAAGGGACCCGATCGGTGGGTGGCCTGGCCAGGCGCGCGCACAACCTGGGAGAGTGACTGTAGGCAGTGGCTTCTTTCGATGCTTTTTTCGCACCCCACCCCTCCCCACACTGGCACAGCCGGGGAGTGAGGGCGGCGGCTTGAGGACAAGCAGAGTGCCCAAGCGAAGCGGGCCCTGTGCCCTGCGCCGAGGCTCAGGCCCAGGTGGCGGGCGGCTGCTCACTCACGCTTGTACCTCTGTGTCCCGTTGTGCTTCCTGTCACAAGCGAGAACAATAAGCCAGGCTGAAGAATCTGACAAAAGAGACAGCAGGCGCCTCTGCGCTGTCCCGTTCAGAGCAACATGGCTTGAGCAGCTGCTTGTGGCTGGGGTCAGGGAGACAAGTGGCGCGAGCCTCCCCTGGAGGGCGGGCAAGGCAGTGGTGGCCTCACTGCGTCACTGTCAGGAGCACGGGGTCTCCAGAGAAGGGTCAGAGGCAGCTGCCAAGAGACGGATGCCGACGCTGAGAGGGCAAGGTTCAGGAGGTGGGACAGTGCATGTGCCAAGCTGGAATAATCGGCCCGTCCGGCTTCTCCCCGAGGGCCTCCTGGCCCGGCCCCTTCATGCGTGCAGTCTCGCCCAGCCCCACACACCACTGGTGGCAGAGAAATGCTGGGGAGAAGCCTGGGGCAGTGAGTGAGTGCCGAGTGCCCACGCCACGCCGCGCCACGTGGGAGGCCAGGATGCCTCATTTGCTGATGAGGAACCGAGGGTCAGAGTCACAGGGCGAGAGCGAGGGTTAAAACGGGGTTCCGTCTGACCCAGACCCGCATTCTCACCCCTGTGCGAGGCGGGCGCCACTGCCCACCAATGGGCTGTGCTGTCTCCCACAGACTGGGTGCATAACCACAAGTTAGGATGGTGACACCTGCCTGTCAGGATTGGGACCACATGGGACAGAGCCCACACAAGGTGCGGCCTGGCTTTCTGCCGTGGCAGAAACACAGGATCTGGAACATCCAGATCGAAACCTCCAATCTCCACCTCTGAAGTCTAAGTTGGTTCCTAGATGCCTTGCTTTCAAGAGAGGGGCATCTGCCATTGAGCGAGGAAGACAGTGGAGTGGATTCAAACGTGAGAGGAAAGCCCTCAAAGAGCAAGCGCCCTGGCCGGAGCCACAGGAGGCGGCGGGCGTCCCCGCACTAGCGTGCACCTGCAGGAGCTGGTGAGTTCCAGGCGCTGGCGCGCAGCTAACGCTTTGAGGATGCATCAGCCACATCCAATGCTGAGCGGATCACAGAAGTTGCCTCATGACGCGCACCCTGGCGAGTAGCTCCTTTTATTTAACCTCCCCGCGTTTCAGGACAAGCAGCTGAAGTGCACAGAGGTAGAGCCAGCCTGTCCACGGCTCAGCCAAAGGCTTCCTGTGCAGACCAGGGAACCTCACTGGTGCGGGGCTCGGGAGGATGCTCGGGTTAGAAGGAAGCTGCACCACAACCCTGAGTGGCAGTTCTCATGCTTCCCAAGCAGGACTGCTTTATGGTATTATTTACTTTGTTTACTTGAGAGGCAGAAACACACAGACCCAGTTTCCATCTACTAGTTCCCTCCCTCCCCAAATGCCTGCAATGGCTAGTGCTGGGCCAGGCCAAAGCCAGAAGCCAGAAACTCAACCCGGGTCCCCCACGTGGGTGGCAGGGACCCAAGTACTTGAGCCACCACCTGCTGCCTCCCAGGTTGCACACTAGCAGGAAGCCGGAATTAGGAGTGAGGCTGATGGGCCAGCGCGCAGTGGATCACTTGGTTAACCCTCTGCCTGCGGTGCCGGGTTCCAGTCCCAGTTGCTCCTCTTCCAGTCCAGCTCTCTGCTGTGGCCCGGAAAGGCAGTGGAGGATGGTCCAAGTGCTTGGGCCCTGCACCCGCATGGGAGACCAGGAGGAAGCACTAGGCTCCTGGCTTCAGATCGGCGCAGTGCTGGCCTAGTGGCCATTTGAGGAGTCAACCAACGGAGGGAAGACCTTTCTCTCTCTCTCTGTCTATAACTCTACCTGTCAAATTAAAAAAAAAAAAAAAAAAAAAGAGTGAGGCTGGGGATCAAACTCAGGCTCCCCGATACAGGACTTGAGCATCTCAACTGCTCAGCCAGTAGGAAGCTGGTCACCTTCCTACTCCGATACACCAGAGAGCCAGGCCAGGGAGACGCTGTAGTGACACAGGGAGGTGGGACCGAGGGCAGTCCAGCCCTATGGTGTCCCTCCTGCCCCTCTGGGGCTCCGGAGTCAGGGCCTTGGGACCCCTCCATCCTGCCTCACCATCCAGGTGCCCCTGCAAAGAGCTCCTTCTGGAAAACAAAGTGGCCAAGCACTTGGCAGTGCAGAGCAACGGCCACAAGATGGCAGCAGTGCTCCAGCTGCCGCAGGTAGCTCCGTGGGAGGCCAGTCCCAAGCAGTGCTCAGCGGCGGCAAACTTGCCTGCCACCAGGGTTTGAAGCCACCCCGACTCTGAGCTCCAAAACTGTCTCGTCGTCTCCTTCTCTGGTCTCACTTTTCTACCTACAGGCAAATGTGAGAGTGATGATTCCAGCTTAACCTTCCAAGCGGCACACAGGGTGTGATCCTGACGCCCGCCCCTTCCCCTGGCCAGTTCTCTTTCCCTGGGACTCCAGGACACCATACCCAGCCCCTCTGACAGGGGTTTCTCTGTGCTTTCGTGTACGAGTTAGGGAGAGATGGGAGGTGATCGAGTGAAGCTCTCCAACCTGTTGAGGGATTGGGGGTTCTCACAAGGCCCCCCAGGGCCCGGCTGTGACAAAGCGTCTGCAATTAATGATGCGTCTTGAGCTCTAGAGACAGGATTTATGCATCTAATAAAGTCTGTAACTCCAGGCTTAGGGGCTGGGGGTGGGAGGCTGAGAGCAGGACGTCCTGGGGGGGCCCTGGGAGGGGATCCCAGGTGGCTCTTAATGGCGGTGCACACTTCCATTCCCCCCCAGGCTGCTGGAGGGGGTGGGGGCCAGAGGGCCAGCAGGTATAAGAGGCAGAGAGGCTGTGCCGAGGCAGAGGGCGGCATGGATCCCAGACAGGCTGTCGTGTTGCTGGGGCTGCTGCTGCTGCTAACCGACTGGGGCCAGGCGGAAGGACCAGGGGACCTGGATGGAGACCAGAACTTGACGGTGAGTGAACGCCCCAGCTCCAGGTCACCATCCTCCTCTGCCTGGGCACAGCCTTGCGCTCGAGGTCCTCAGCCCCCGGAAGCCACCCCCACCCCTGGCTCGGGAGCCCAGGGCACTGTGCGTCTTCCTTCTCCCGTGCCCCTCTGCCGCAGGAAGAAGACGGTGGCCCCGGCCCAGCACGAGACACCCAGCCCTCCAGGGTCCTCCTGCACACCCTGCTCCAGGCCATGGAGAGACCTGGCCGGAGCCCAGCCTTCCTGTTCCAACCCCAGAGGTGAGGCTGAGAGGGACACAGGCTCACCGGGGCGGGCAGCGAGAAGGGCCAGGGGCTCGGTGCAGATGACAGCTCTCTCTCTCCCAAGGTTTGGCAGAAACGCCCAGGGGCCGTGGAGCAAGCAGCGCCTGAGTCCCCGGGCTGGGGAGGGCCTGAGCTCCCAGTTCTGGAGCCTGGCTGCACCCCAGCGCTTCGGGAAGAAGTGACGCGCCAGCCCTCGATGTGTTTGCATGCAAGGCCCACGCTCAGAAGTGCCGCGTGTCCCCCGCCCCTCCCCGAATAAAGCTCTCTGCCTTGCGAATCCACATGTGTGCATCTGAGACTTTAAAGGGCTGGGAGGGAGCCCGAGGCAAACATCACTGCCCCCACCCCCATCTCCAAAACCAGACTCCAGGGGTGCAGCCAGCAGGGGTCCCCGAGGCCAGCGCCAGCAGGCCTGAGAGTGTTCGGGGTGGGGGGGACCGGGGAGCTAAGGCAGGGCGCCCCGCCCGCACGCAGCAGACGACCCTGTCGGGGAGCCAAGGAGCAACACGTTTATTTGGACTCCAACACAGAGCCCAGCCCCTCAGCTTCGTCCCCACTCCTCGCCACCACCAAACAAGCGTGTGGCCCGGGCCGGCGGCCGGCTGAAGCTGTGGTCCCTGGCGCCTCGCCCCCTGGCGCCCAGCCTCAAGGCAGGCAGTCTGTGTCAGAGGTAGCGATGGTGCCTGCAGAGGGCACCCGGGGGACACAGCGCGCGCGTCTGTGAGTCCAGGCCGGCCGGGGCTCTACTTGCTGCCCGCCATGATCTTGAGGTACTGCAGGGCCCGGCGCGCCGCCTCGCCCCGGGCCGCCTCCCGGGTGGTCGCAGAGCCGTGGCACACGGTGGCCGGCTGGGTGGACAGTTCCACCAGGCACTGGCAGAGCCCGCTCAGACTCAGCTCCTCTGCAGACCGAGAGAGTAGGGGGAGGTGGCGGTGGGCAGGGAGCGGGGTGCCCACATCCCCCTCAGGCTTGCTCTGGGCCGGTACCCACCGGCCCCCGCCCTCCAGCTCGCCATACCAATATCCAAGTAGCTGACATGGAAGGCCTGCTCCTCGGACAGCTCACTGAGGACGCTGCAGCAGGCGGAGCCCAGAGCGCTCAGGGAGCCCAGGGGGCAGCTGCGCAGGGACAGGATCTTCTCGCCCACAGAATTGCGCAGGGAGTCCCAGGTGCAGCCGGGGCCCCGGTGCCGCAGTCCGTCCAGGCGGGAGCCCACACCCTGGTAAGACGGGGACCGAGTGAGGAAGACACAGCCAGTGGCCAGGGACAGAGCGCTTGCTGTCACATGGCCATCAGCCTTCGCCACCCCGCAACCTGCAGGGTCCTGCCCCGGGGCCGGTGCACTTGGCCCAGGAGAGCCCTGGGTCCGGGCAGAAGACGGGCCGGAAGCAGGTGGCGGTGGCATCAGCTACTCACGATGGAGAACTGGTCATCGTCGGGCTCAGCCTCATTGCCGTCCCGCGCGTCCAGAGGCACAGTGTGCACTCGAAGCAGCATCTTGGCCGCCGCATTGCGCTTGGCCAGTTTTTTGGAAGTGCCACTGCCTGCGCGTGGGGAGAGGGCCACGCGGTTAGGACGCCGGACAGTGCTCTCCTCCCTCCGCCCGGCCCGTGCTCGGATCAAGGACCCCCACCCCACCCCGCCACATGCGCCCCGGGAAAGGGAAGCTCGGGGCGTGCCCAGGGCCCTAAGAACCCGGACAGGCAGAAGCGACGGGGGAAAGTATGCAGAGAAGCCAGGTGGCGTGAGGCGCAGGGCCGCCGTGGCCAGCGCTGGGGTGCTGTGGGCGCCCCCTTCTGTGCGGTTACCGATCTCAACGAAGCGCTCCACGCGGCAGGTCATGGTGAACTCCTTGCGGTGCGCCGGCCCCGACTCCTGGGTCACCGTGTACTCCGGCAGCCGCCAGCCCTTCTGCACCACCAGCTCCTTGGAAGGGAGACACAGGGTGTAGAGAGCTAAGCGAGGGCTCCTCAAAGCCAGGCACCCACCCACCCACCAGGGGAGAGGAAGGAGGGGGCATGGCGGGGGCCAGGGTGCAGGGCCCCAGCCCCCCACGCCACCCCACACACACACAACCTGCCCTCGTGACCCCGCTTCAAGGGACAGGGGCCCACCTGCAGAGCACCGACGGGGTTGCACTCGGACTGCTGAGGGGACACGGGGGGCTGCATCTCCACGGGAGGGCTCCTGGAGGAGAAGGTGCGGGCACACGGTTAAGGAGAGCGGTGCCCTCCACAGGCGCCCACGAGCCCGATCCTAGCCACTGCCCTGTCCCCCAGCAGGAGCCGGCGGCTGGCTCGCCCGCTTCCGTGGCCTCCTCTGGGTCCTGGGCCCATTTCGGTTCTGGAGTACGTTAGCTGTCATGGCAGCAGCACCGCCTAGGCCTCAAACATACAGACCACCCAGGAGAAAACGGGGCCTGGCCGAAAATCATCCATGCGCTTACTTAGAAGCCATGAGCATCGGCCGGTCCCTAGGGCTGACCGGCCAGTGCAAACTCTTCAAGCGTGTCCCCAGCCAGTCTCTGTTTACCCTCTGACCTCCGGCCTGACCCCCTCCTCCCGGCCTCGGGCAGTCAGGGGACACGAGATACCTGGTCAGGACCGCAGATGGGACAGGAGCGGCGACTGTCCCAACAGTGAAACCCGGAACCCTCTCAGGCAGCAAAGACTCTAGGGGAGAAAAAGAACTTCCCGAGGGGAAGGGGACCTTCGATTCGCACCCCCATGTCGGGGGAGGGGGGCCAGGTCCTCCCGACCCACCCTGCCCGCCCCCTCCGCCTGAGCCAGACTCCGGAGGCTCAACCAACAGCTCCCCTTCCCAGGATCCTTTGCTGCTCAGCACCAGATCCAAAAGGCCGAGAAAGGGAGCCTCAGAAAAATGATCGCTTCCTACCCAAGAACCACGGAACGACCAAATGCAACCCGAGCGTGTCAGAGGGAAGGACTAGAAAGAGGCAGCTTGTGGAGCCTCAGCCTCCACCCCAACCCCTCCCTAACCCAAGCCCCAGGCCAGAGCCCCAGCCCCTCGGAGGGCCAGCCGTGTGCCCCCCACAGCCCGTGCGGGCACAGAGGAAAGCCCCGGCGAGGCCGGCGGGGGGGCTCCCAGGAGCACCTGGCCATCCCCCCTCACCTGTGGTCCTCCAGGGCCGGCTCCAGCATGCTCCCCCCTTTGAGGTGTCTGAGGGCCACCTCAGCTGCCTTGTGCTTGGCCGCCTTCTTGCTGGGGCCCTGACCTGAGAGACGGGGCATGGGCGACACTGCAGGTCACAGGAGAACCAGCAGTGCCCACAGCGGGGGTCAACCAAGCTCCCCTGGGCAGCCCCGTCCCTGGCCAGACACCACAGGGTCTCCGCAGCTGCTGCACAGGCCTCCTTCCAGTCTCCCCACCGCCTGGACCTACGGCAGGCCATGCGGACTGCTGGGCTCCACAGTGCAGGGGAGAGCCCCTCTCTGCCCCACTGCCCTCTGCATGGCACCGTCTTTTCCCTAACAGACTGGCATGGATGGGAAACAGATGGAAGGCTCCAGAGCCCCAGCCCTGCAACACGGGGCTGCTACCACGCCCACTGCCAGCTTGGGCCAAAGTTTCTGATGACCCGGGATTTGGCACAGCCCCGCTGACGTCTCTGTCTCCCCCCTCTGACTTGTCCTTGAACCTGCCAGATGGCTGTGGCAGTCCTGCCCGCTGTCTCGCTCCCCCAAGTCCTCCCTAGCCCCCTCCCAGCGATGGCTTTTCCCCTGCGATCTCCCCTTCCCTCACTGGCTTCGGAGGACGGCAGAGACAGAACGCAGAGCAGTGGGGTCCTAGGCCTGCACGCCCCAGCCAGGCTGCCCAGCCTTCCTCACCGGTGCAGCTGGTGTCGCCGACGGTGACCCGAAAGGTGAAATTAGGCTGGTGGGCTTGGCCCTCGGCTTTGAGGAGGTCGTACACGGGCGTCTTCCCTATTCTGGTCCCATACTCCTGCAGAAGGCTGATCGGGGTCTTGCCCGGGTTGGCGGCCAGCATTTGCTCTATACTGAGGGGAGGGGCGAAGACTCGCATCACACCTCCCCTCTCTGCACCCACCTGGCCAAGCACTGCCGTACCAGCCCTGGGCACGAGGTGGGGAGGGGGCACAGGGTCCAGGGGAGCACAGCATCCACTGGCTGGCTCCTACGTGGAGGTGCAGGCTGGGAAAACAGTGTCCATCAGCCCGAGGCAAGTGGGGAACGCACTGGTCCTGTCTCACTCAAGGTGGGGGTCCTGTGCCCCAGTGCAGACTGGAAGTGCACGCCCCCTGACACAACTGCAGGCCAGGAACCCGGTACCCACCCAATGCACTGAACGTGGGGGCATAAAGCCCAGTGCTCCAGTGCAGTCTGGGAACCGAGCCAACCTCAAACTATTTAGGGCTGGAAGCGGTAGCCACCTCCCCGGTGCATGCTGGGAACCACTGCCCACTCCCCCAGTGCTTGCCGGGAAGAACCCTCGGGCCAGGTGCATGCTGGGGCCGCGCCACTACCCGCGCCGGACCGCCTCCCGCTCTTCGCCCTGCAGGGTTTGCTAGGAGGCGGCTCACCTGGGCAGCCCGCAGCCCGTGGTCGTGCCGGAGCCCTGCCCCTCTTCACTCATTCCCTCCTCCGTCCCCGCGGGCGCCACCGTGCCTGCAGCCTCCGCGCGCCCCAATACACCGCCGCCGAGCTAGGGCCGGGGCCGAGCCCGGAGTCGCGGCCGGCAGGGCCCGCCGCGGGGCATGCTGGGATATGGAGTCCCCCGCCCGCCGTCCTCCGCGCGGCTCCATCGGGAGGGGCGCGCTCGCCCCACAACCCTCCGCGTGGCTCGCTCTGCTCGCCGCACCGCCTTCTGGGAGGAGCGGACCTCCCCGCGCTCTTCCCCAGCTGCGGGCGGTTCGCAGTGTTTCCCTGTCGTCCCGCCTCCTTCCCCGGGCCGTGAGGCCGTGGACATGCGCACTGGCGAAGTGGAAGCGGCTGGAGGCGGGGCGGTAAGGGCTAACTCGAACGTGGGGCGGGGGGAGGAATCTTTGGGAGCCGAGAAAACTACAAATCCCAGGAGGTCGCGCGCCATCTTTGTCGCAGCTGGAGGGGCAGGGGCAAATGCGCACGAAAGGCCTCGCGATGTGATTGGCTGTCCCGATTGCGTGGCCTGCCCCCAGGCGCGTTGGGATTGGCTCCTTTAGGGGGGCGGGGACAGTCGGGGTGGCACCCCACACACACCTTGGCCCGCCTCTCTCCTGAGGAAAGGTGCTGATTGGCTGCGAGACGCAGCTGACGGGTCCTGGCTCTGCGGTCTGAGAGAGTGGCCGTACCTGGACGCGAGAGGGGGCTACTCCCTGCTCCTTAGGGCGCTGGGGCTGTTGCAGATGCAAGTCAGTCCAGCCCAGATTTCCGCCTCAGCCCCCAGCCTCAGAACCTGCTTCCCGTTCCTAGGTCGTCCCCCACAACCCCCACCCCCACCCACACCTCCCCGTTCATTCTGCGCGCTCCTAAAGCCTTTTAGAACGGCCTTCTAGAGCCGGCCAGGACACTGTGGGCCTGAGAATTGGGCTGTAGTGGGACCACACGATCAGATAACTAAGGCGCCTGGGCTCCTTCGGCTGAAGAGAGCCAGAGGGGACTCTGACCTCCTGAAAACGCGTGCACGGAGTAGTGTGGGTGCAGAGCCCCAAGTCTCACAACCACCCCCGGGCTAAAAGATGAAAGCGAGATCGTGTGACCTTGGCCAGAGAAATAGCACCACCACCCCCCCCCCCCCAAATTCTAAGGAGTGTTCTGGGAATGAGTCTGGGAAAAGATGTCTTGCCCCGGAGCTGGGGGGTCAAAGGCCCAGAGGAAGCTTGGGATGCTAATAAGGGGTCATCCACGAACACTGGAGAGGCATGGGGCCCAGAGCTGAGAGGATTCCAATTGGGTGGAACTGGAGTGGCGACAGTTAGGGGAGGCAGAGCTGGCTCGATGTGTGTGACGGAGAGCCGGGTCGGAGCGCTGGGGATCCCATCCGAGGAACTGCTCTCGCGGCGGGCAGGAAGCGATCCGCAAGAGGCCCGAGGTGGGACAGCCCTAGGACACCGCCAGCGGGCAGGCAGGGGGCACGGGCGGGCCGGGGACGAGCCTGGAGCGCGCCGGATGGCAGCAGCGGGCTCCTTTAAGAGGCCGGCGGCTCCAGCGCTGCATCCCCCGCTCAGGGCGTGTCCGTCCCGGGGGGCCAGGGGCGGGGGCCTCGGAAGGAGCGGGAGTTCAAGCCGAGTGGGGACGGGGCTAGGGGTCGGGGGGTGGGGGCCGGAAGCCGGGGCTGACATCCGTGCGCTCGGACCCCGCACGAGCCTCGCCGTGACAGCGCCCCGAGTCCGGTCGAGGGCAGCGGGGGGAGGCGGGAAGGCGGAGGAGAAGGAGGAGGAGGCGGGAGCAGCATCCGGAGCGGAGCTGCAGCAGCGCCGCCTTTTGTGCTGCGGCCGAGGAGCCCCCGAGGTGAGAGCCTGGCCGAGTGGTGGGGGGTGGGGGGCAGGCACGGGTCTGGGTCCTGGGATCCGGGCACCGAGGCAAGGTCGGGATGCAGATTTGGCGTGGCGGAGGGAGGCGGCGCAGGGATGCTGAGGCTGTTTGGATGGAGATCTGGGGACCTGGACCCGACGCCCGTGGGGATGGGAAGGAGGGAGGGATGCCGCGGCCCAGCCTGGAGCCCGAGGGCCCCTAGACTGGAAGGGAGGCTTGGGGTGGGGAGTGACTGGGGGACCGCCGTAAAGGACAGCGGTAAGGGAACAGCCTCTCTCCTCCCACTCAGCCTCTGGAGGGGAGGGAGGGAAGGCGGGGGGGGGGCGAGTTTGGGCCCCTCCAGGGAAGGAAAGCAAGGACATGGCCCGATGCACCCCCTGCCTCCCCCCACCCCACTGAGCAGACTGGACCTGAGGATTATTGGCAGAGAGCACCTGTTCCCCGAAGCCTGAGGCCCGGCCCCCTCCCCTTGCGGCTGTAATGCCCTGATCCCCTCCAGCTGTGGCTTTTGCCTCCAGCTGCTGTACACTCCCCTCCCCCCATGCATAGGTGGCCTCCTGCTGGTTCCGGCTCCTGTGACTCCCCTAACCCATTTCCTCAGGTCAGGCAGGCCCTGCCAGAGCCTCCTCCCTCTCCCACTCACACTCTTCAAACTCATTGACCAAAAAATAAAGCAAGAGTCCTTTCCACGGAGGTGGAACTTCCTGATAACCTGGCCTTGACCCAGGGGAGGCAGGAACAGGGGTCAAGGTGGGAAGAAATAGGTGTTCCTGGGAATTAGGGGAGCAGAATCCCACCTTTCAGGTCCCTGGCGGGTTCCCCCTTTGGCAGGAGTGTAGGGGAGCAGCCTTCAAGTAGAAGGGAGTGCACATCGGGGCTCCCACCCAGCCCCCAGTCCTCAAACCACAAGGCCGACTCCCTGAGCCTGAGGGTCACAGCCAAGGCCGGCAGGAGGGACTCAGGAAAGCTGCCCCAAGCCTTCCTGTCCAGACACTCGAGTTTCTCTGGGCCTAAGGGCCTTGCTCCCTCTCCCCTCACTCTGAGGAGTAGAAAAGCCCTGTCCACTCAGACTGTGACACAGGTGATGCAGGAAGACCCCAGCCCCCCACACACATAAAGACAGGCGTGCTGGGTGCCCACCTCTTGGGGAACCCCAGCCAGGAGCAGAGGAGTGCAGGGCAGGAGGTAGCCTGGGTGTTGTGGGCTTCAGCTGGGCTCCCCAGTGCTCCTGCTGTGAGACTCTGCTGGTGGCTGCCTTGGCCAAGAAGGGGGCCCCAGTCCCCAGCACCCACAGCCAGGGCCTGTCCACAGCACAGGCCTACCTGCGAGAAGGAAGGGGTCACACAGTCTACCTTTCCCAGAGCCCCTGCTAGGGCAGGAGGGGACCCCTCCAGTGGAGCTGGGCAGAGACTGATCTGCCGCAGCTGGGCTAGGGCTGGGAGGAGAGGCAGTGCCCCTGACCTTACTCCCGGGGAGGGCAAGGAAGGCCCTGGCCTGGCTCCTGCTCTCTCTGCCCTCCTGTTTCCTCCCCCACCACCCTTGCCACCAATTATACAAAACCTGCCAGTTGGTGCCAGCAAGGTCCAGAACTTCCCGGGCCAGGAACTTTTGTGACTGTCTCCGTCATGCCCCCAACGAGACAGTCAGATGGTGTTGTCATCACCTCTGCCTTAGACATGCGGACACTGACACTTAATTTCTTCAAAGTGAAAAACTTAGTCTGGGGCAAGAAGCAGGACTTGAACCCAGGTCTGTCGGGCCCGGAGCCCGTGCTCTTCTGCATGTAGAAACGCAGTGTTGGCCGCTGTGTGACCGAGGTGCCCCTTGCTCATGTGGGGATACAGCAATTAAGCTTGGTTCCTCTCCTGCCCCATCCCCACCAGCTCAGGTGCCCAGACTTGGCCTCAACCAGTCTCTGAGAGTCTGGGGTCTGCATTTACCCAGGCACAACGGCCCCAAGCTCCTTTTGAAATTTAAAGTAAGTTTTGCCTTTTTTTAAAAAGCCATTGAAAGGGAGTACCAAAAATACTAGAAAATATAGTTAAACCAAAAGCAGAAATCTGAAACATTTAGAATTCTACCTGCCTAGATGTGGCTAAGCTGTGGTATTTGTCCTCCCAGCTTTTAAGATTTTATTTATTTACTATGTATTTGAAAGCCACAGAAAGAGAGAGAGTGGGAGAAAGAGAGAGGGAGGACGACAGAAACAGAGATCTACATACTCTGGTTCAGTCCCCAAATGCCAGCGACGGCTGGGCCGGGCCAGGCCAAAGCCAGGAGACTGGAATTCAAGCTGGGTCTCCCACGTGGGTGTTAGGGGTCCAACAACTTGAGGACACGCATTAGCAGAGAGCTGGAATCAGAATGGAGCCGGGAATTGAACCCAGGGACTGCAGTATGGGACACGGCTGTCCCGAGCAGCGTTAGCCACTTGTCTTAACCACTGTGCCAAACACCTGCTCATCCAGACTTCTTTTTGTTTATTTTCATCCACTTGAAAGGCAGAGGGATAGAGAGAGAGAAATTTTCCATACGCTGGTTCATTCCCTAAAGGCCCACAACAGCCAGGGCTGGGCCAGGCCAAAGTCAGGAACCTGGAGCTCCATCGGGGTCTCTCCCGTGCACAGCCAGTTCTTGCTGCCTCCCAGGAGGCACATTAGCAGGAAGGTGGACCAGAAACAGAGTAGCCTGGACTCCCAACTGTGGGATGCTCGGTCCCAGGCGGTGGCTTAACCTGCTGCACCACAACATCTACTCCAGAGTTTATTTTTTGCCCCTTTTTCAAGACTTATTTTTGTATTTGAAAGGCCTGAGTTGCAGAGAGGGAGAACTTCCATTCCATCCACTGGCTCACTCCCCAAATGGCCACAACGGCCAGTGCTGGGCCAGACCGAAGCCAGAAGCCTGGAGCTTCATCTGGGTCTCCCAAGTGGATAGCAGGGACCCAAGCACTTGGGCCATGTTCTGCTGCTTCCCAGGCATATTAGCAGGGAGCAGGATCAGAAGTGGAGCAGCCGGGACTCAAAACTGGCACTCTTAGCGGGGTGCCAGCATTGCAGGAAGCGGCTTAACCCACGGTGCCAGAATGCCAGCCCTTAGATTTTCTTAAGTGTACATCTAGCTCAGGAACTGTTAAAATATGCTGAACTCCTTCCAGGCTCCCCTAGGGGCCCCCTGTGACTTATCCCCCCTTCGCCTCAGACCTCCGTGGGTAGGTGGGGCCTAGCAGGGATCCTGGGTCAGTGCTGTGGCTGCTTAGAGGAGAAGACTCCAGAAAGAGAACTTGGCCAGGCTGTGGGGACCGGTGCAGAGAATCGGGCCTTTCTACGGTTCCACTGGAACCTGAGATCGCGAGGCAGACAGGAGAGATGGCCTAGGCCTGGGCTCCAACCAAGCAAGGGGGCTGGCGGGCAGGCGTCGCACTTCCCAACTAACCCTCGCCACCCACCTCCATAAGCAGACTGAGCGCAGACCTGGCTCCCAGCTCTGGTCTCTCTAAAGCCACAGTTGGTGCTTTTCCCCTAAGCTGTCCTGTGCCGCTGCCCACCATCCTGGAAGCAGTCCAACAGCTCGGGCTGCTGGGTGAGGCCAAGGACCTGTGTTAAGGGGTGCTGTCCGGTCTCCCCTTCACCAGAGCACGACACAGGGAAAAGCCAGTCCCTGGAAGAACACTGTGGCTGGGACCAAATGACAAGTTGCAGCCTTGGTCCTTGTCTGAGCCTGCTCCTCTCCCTCGCAGCCCCCCTCCCACGTGCACTCAGGAGCCAGGGTGGGGGTGGGGGCTCTGCTCGGATTTCCTGAGTGGCTGTGAGGGAGCCCAGGGTCCAGACAGATGGCCTGGCCTCTGAACTACCCCCTCCATGGCCTCAGGATAAGCAGCTTGGCCTTGAGAACCTGCAGTGGGGTGGGGGTGGGGGTGCTTCGAAGGAGCTGAGCAGCTTCACCTGGCCCAGCCTCAAGCATCCCAGGCTGGAGGAATGGGGTGGGGGGGGGCTTCTGCCCCTACTCCACCCTGCAGTTTTCTTAGGGGGCCCTCTGGGGGCGCCAGCAAACCTGCAGCTGCATTAGGGCCTCCCAGTGTCCAAGAAGCCCCTCCCCTGGCAGATGTGGGGTTCAGAGAGCATCCTGCCCCTTCCCTGGACCTGACAGAATGACTGACAGAGATACCCGCCGCTCCGATCGCATTGCAGCCCTTCCCCCTCGTGCTGCATAATTGATGGCCCGGGAGACAGCGCCCCTCCCCCCAGGTGACGAATGTCTGGGCCGGGGGCTCCCAGCCATACTATCCCCCCCAAAGCCCCGGCGCCGCCGGGGCACAGCTGGCGGGTCAGGATAAAGGAGCCGGCCCGGGGGTGGGGGGTGGAGCGGGTAGAGGACCAGGGCTGCAGCTCCCTGGGGCACGTGGCCTGCTCCTGCGCTGGGGGCGGGGTGGGCCTGGCCAGACCCCTTGCTTTTCCCTGGTCTCCCATTCCTCCAAAGACACACAGGTGAAGTGGCTTCTCTGGACACCCGAGGGGCCTCCGGGATGAGCCTGGTGACCTGGAGGGAGAGGCAGCCGTGCCTGACCCCGCCTTAAAAAGTCGGGGCTGGGGAGGTGCTCCCACCCGCACTCCCCGGGACGGGGGGGGGGCAGAAAAACTACATTGGAGATTGCAACCTTCCAGTTAAAAAGGATAAAAAAATAAATAATCTAATATGATCAAGTTGCTTTATTAAAAGATATTCATAAACTGAAATTCACATATTTAGGAATAAATATCAAGAGTCCAAAAAAAGCATCTAAAAGAAGCATGGTTCAAAACACTCCTTTAAAGTGGTACTTAGGAGCTCCCTCCTCCAAGTGCTCAATATTGCACAATTTGGAAATATCACTTTCATAGATGTACTTAGGATTTAGCTAAGGGAACTCTTGTTTGCTGGAAATAAAGCAAAAGATAAATGTGAACTTTTGGCAGCCCTCATCCAAACTCGATCATAAAATACTTTACAACAAATTAAACAGAAATGAGTGTGCTTCCAAATGGTAACTGCAGTATGTGCACTTGCTTGCTGAAACAATTAATGCATGCAGCTGGTGTCA